TGGTTTGTTTGTCTGTTTGTTTGTTTTTGTTTGTTTGTTTGTTTTTTGTTTTTTTTTTGCAGTCAAACGAAAAATTCATTTGCATAAAATATAGATCCTCTCTCCTGATTTTCTCAGGAAGATTGGTAGTTATGAACTTTTAGATAAATAGTGTAGACCCCAGATATTCTTGCAAAGAAAATTAAAATATGCAAATGACGATGTTATGATTTCAGCTCAGTTTTCTCTCGAATTTCCAGTTTAATTATTTTGGGAGGATTGCGAACATGTAATCAAAGCTTAGAAGCTTGATATATTCAATAGCAAAATTTATATATATATATTATTTTTCTCTTAGTTAATTAAGCTGCCAATCTCAGTAAAGGTGGTCAAAAAGGCGACAATCATGGTCGACATTAAGACTACCAAGCTTTTCATTTGGTTCTGTGTCTTTGTTGTTTCTTCATATTCGGAGCTAACTGATGCAGCTGACTTCAGCGATGAAGCCCTGATCTGCCTATTGGAAGAATGCTTAGTGATAGCTACCTACCTTTGTGATACTAGAGCTATGATATCACTTTACGCTCTTCTGGGCGATATTTATAGCTCTTCAGGGGAATGTCACAAAGCCATTGAATATCACGAGAAAACTCTTGCCATTGAAAAGGAGTTTGGTAATAAACGTGGAATAGGTGATGCTTACGGACATTTAGGAAATGCCTATGACTCATTAGGGGAATATCACAAGGCCATTGAATATTATAAAAAGAGCCTAAAGATTGCTGAAGAGATTGGAAATAGGCCTGGAGAAGTAAGCAGTTACGAAAATTTGGGAAGTGCATATCACTCATTACAGGAATATCGCAAGGCAATTGAATGTCTTGAAAAGAGCCTGAGCATTGCTGAAGAGGTTGGTGACAGGCGTGGAGAGGGAATGGCATGCGGAGAGTTAGGAGATGCTTACGAYTCATTAGAGGAATATCGCAAGGCGACTGAATATCTCGAAAAGAGCCTTAGCATCGCTCAAGAGATTGGCGAGAGTAATTCGATAGCAGCTGGTTACGGAAGGTTAGGAAATATCTATCAATCATTGGGGGAATACCGCAAGGCCATTGAATGCCACGAAAAGTCCCTACCAATTGTTCAATGCCTTGGTGAAAGAGAAGACGAAGGGAGTGCTTATAGGAGCATGGGAAATAACTATTTTTTAATAGGGGAATATTACCAAGCGATAGAATATCAAAAAAAGGCCCTAAGCAKCGCTAAAGAGGTAGGTGACAAAAAGGCAGAAGGAAGTGCTTATGGAAACTTGGGAGGTGCATATGCCGCACAAGGGGAAGATCACAAGGCCATTAAATATTTTGAAAACAGCCTCAGCATTGCAAAAGAGTTTGGTGACAAGAAACAAGAAGAAACTGCTTCTTCAAATTTAGGAAACGTCTATAGATCATTAGGAGAATATCAAAAGGCAGTTAAACATCTTGAAAACAGCCTGAGGATTTCGAAAGAAATCGGTAGCAGAGATGGACAGGGCAGAAGTTACCGTAACTTAGGAAATATYTGTTTTTATTTCGGAGAATATCAAGAGGCTTTTCAATATTATAAAATGAGCCTGGAAATAACTAAAGAAAGCGATGACATCTCCGAAGAAGCGAGTAGGCACCACGATATTGGTAGGGTAACTTTACACGATTCTACGTGCATCTGACAACCTTTGCGAGATTTTATATATCGACACGCGGATAACTCGCCATTGTTCCTTTTGAACCAATAAGAAAGCAACTTTCAACGACAGATATTTTTTATAATGTACATACAGCTTTCGCCRCATCCGCGGCAGATAATATTATTTATTTAGTTCTTCCATTGCTAATGTTTTTTTTTCTTCTTCTTTTTGTTGTTTGTTTGTTTTT